ATATATATATAATTTAATATATAGTTGTTAATAATATGTCTGTTAATAATCAAATGTTAAAGTATGTGTCATCTTTTAATGATAAACCTTTCATTCAAACATATGTTGGTTGTTTAGGAGAGAGTCCCAGCAAGGGTTCAAACCAACTTTGGATTGCATTATGAGTCCACAGGTCAAGGCTGGGCGCTAGTGCTAATAAACAGTGGTTGGTGAACGGAAGGATGAAAGTTAGAAACCGAAACCAAAGGTAACAGAGACAGGAGAGACAACTAAGCAGGCATGCAGGGAGGAGGTGATATAGCCCCAGCCGCTCTAAAATGTGTGCATCGGTGACAACTACTGGAGGAGCAGTACCTCAAGCTGCTTAGAAATGGCAATTTTGAGATGGGACTGCAGCTGCTCGACTTGCCCCATTGCTTCGTCTCTCTCCTTTTGCAGGGCCTCAGTCTGAGCCGTCAGGTCTGTGACGTTGGAGGAAATCTCATTGTTCGCAGCAGCAGAGGATGACACTTGTGCAACTGAGTTCTCGTACTGTTTTTCTAGATGTCCCTTATCAACCTGGAGATTCTTGACAGTATCCTGCAGTTGTTTCTGACTAGCCTGCAATTTCTCCAACTCACCTAGCAGCCTTGACCGTTCTGAGAGCAAATTGTCTTGCATTGCATTGAGAGAAGAAACATCCTCCTCTAATTTACACTTATCGGCCAAAAGGTGGTCCGTCTCTGAGGTCAGTAGAGTCATCTGTTTACCCATTTCTGCCAACTGGTAACATAGCTGTTCTTTACCAAGTATCAGCTGATTTAATTCTTGTTCTTGTTTCTTCAACTGTGACGTCAAACTCTCCATGTTCTTGGTGAGCAACTTTGTTTTCTCATCTGCTTTCTTAAGCTTAGAAGACATCTCTTTATTTTCTTCTGTGAGATTGGAGAGTGTTTTCTGCAGCTCATCGACCTGTTTAGACAAACCTTCCCTGTCGGACATGGCTTTACTATGTTCACCAGATTCAGCTTGAAGCTGAGCCTCAAGGAGGTTCTTGGCCTCTGACACTGATTCAGTCTGACCTTTTAACTCCTGGATTTCCTGGAGAAGCCTCTGCTTCTCTTCCTGCACATGTTTGTCTGCTTCAGTCTGCGAGGACTTTAAATGCTTGCACTCTTTTGTAAGGTCTTCTACTTGTTGTTTGAGTTGTGCATTTGTCTTCTCTAATTCTTGTTTTAGCTGGCCATGCTCCTGAACAAGTGCATTTTTGCTCCTGTCTAGATTTTCTAGATCTGCTTTACATTGTTGCATTTCATTCTGAAGCTCAGATCTTTCTCGTCTTAAATTGGTGACCTCTACGTTAATGTCATCTTTGCGTCCTTTGTGGTCCTCCAAGATTACTATCAACTGAGACTTCTCTTGATTAAGGTCAGTATTCACTTTGGCGTAATTATCTAACTGGTCCTTTGTTATACGTATATCACTGGCTAGTTTATCCCGCTCTACAGAAAGAGCCTGTTTCTCAGAAACAATTTTCCTATGTTTCTCTTCCAATTCTTCCATTTCCCCTTCCAAACGCTCAAGATCAGTTTTCTGCTGCTCTAATGATAAATCCAGGCTCATCTTTTCTTTTCGGGTTTCATGCAGAGCCATTTCAGTTTCAAAGTTCTGAAGTTGTAACGTCTGCCTCTCCTGCTCAAATGACGACAGTGCTTCTTTGAATTTCTCATTGGACTGAGTCAGTTGTTCTGCTGACAACTGAAGCTTCTCTCTCAAGTCTTCTATCTCTTTGTGAAGCTCTTCCTTCTCATTAGAATGTTTTCTGTGGTTTGCTAGCAAATCTTCTTTCTCCTTCAGAAGGTGGAGCCTCTCAGAGTCAGTCACCTGACTGCTAGTCTTGAACTCCTCCAGCATTTGGGTCAGGCTCAATTTGGAAGCTTTTAGTTCTTCGCACTCATGGACATAGACTTCCAAATCTTTTTTTGTAACCTTGAGTTTATTCTGAAGTTCTTCTTTCACTGATTCCATGTTCTTCTTATCCAACACAGAGGCACTGATTTTTGAGGACTGCTCCATCTTCTCTTTGGTCAGTGTTTCTGTGAGGGCCTGCAGTTGGCTATTCTTCAAGGTGAGGTCTTCTTTTTCCAAACTCAGAGATTTAAGTTTTTCTTGCAACTCTGTGTTCTTGGCATCTGTGGCCTTTTTGGCATTTTTAGCAGCATCTCTCTCTAAGATCAGCTCATTTTTCTCATGTGTGAGCTTGGCCTTACTCTCGCAGAGGTCCTCTTCGAGACGCAAATTCTCTTTGCAGATATTTTTAAAATCCTCTAGCAGTTGTTTCTTTTCAGCCTGGATTTGCTGGATGTCCCGCTGGTTCTTGAGAAGCAAGTCATTTTTCTCTGTACACTGTTTTTTAAGTTGCTCAATTTTTGACGAATGTTCATCTATAATGAGCCTCAGTTTGTTGTTTTCAGTATGCACTTCTTGTAAATGATCTTTGAGCTTCTCCAACTCACTGCTCAAAGAAATCCGTTCTTCGTCTGCACGCTTGTTGTCTGTCACTAATTCCTCTCGATCGTTCAAGAGCTTGTCTTTAGTTTTCAGCAGGTCTTCATGCTGCGCTAAAAGTTCTTGGTGACTTTTCTCAATAGTGGAGAGCTTCACGTGTAAATCAGAAACTTCTTTCTGCAGTTTGTTTTTCTCGGACTTTACATCCTTACTTTCTTTAATCAGGTTGTCCAGATCTAGGATCTTTTCTCCCAAATGTTTGGACAATTGTTCAGCATCATGCTTGCAGGAGTCAAGCTCAGCAGAAAGATGCTGGAGAAAATAATAAGATGAATGGAAAACAATGTGGGGAATATGTATGTATATAAAGTGAGAGGTAAGATGAGTTTAAAATGTATGTAGAAAGGTTAAGCTGCAAAAGCACTGTGAAACTAAAAAAAAATTTAAAAAAATCACTTACAGTTAAAGTGGAACATTTTCACTTAATATAAATCCAATCCCAAGAATTCAAAACAAGCAAGAGTATAAATAATAATAATAATAAGAGGAGAGGAGCAGCCAACTGCTAGAGAGTTAGACCTGGAGCTACACGTTACCACTTTTGTATTTGGTGTTTTTTAAAAAAAGAGTGAAAATTCTTCACCTGAATTCAGTATCAGAATAATAATTCATGCTTGCAGAGGTTCACATTAAATTAGCTATGACCTCATACAAAAAGAGATAATTTTTTACCATTATTAAAGAAAAGAAAATACCTGCAGGACCATAGAACACCTAAAACAGAGATTAATAAATATGAAAAAAAAGGTGATTGGCTTAAATGTCTGGAGTATATAATGGCAGGGAAAGCTCGCTGATGAATCAATGATGTTAAAAAGGGGGGGCGGGGGGGGATAAAAGCTTGGTATATTTTGTTTTAAATGGTGTGTGATAGGTTTGTGAAGTTAAAAAAAAAATCTTCACTTGATTTAACCCACACATCTGCATTGGGGTAGGGTTTGTCTTACCTGAGCCTGTTCCTTGTACAACTGCAGCTCAGACACCAGCTTCTCCAGGTCCTGGCTTTTGTTCTTTGAGGAGGTGAGCTTCTGGTTCAGAGTTTCAACCTGGCTCTGCAGCATCTTCACCTCCTTCTCATGGAGCTCTGAAACTTCAGACATGGCCTTTTGTTGTGAGGCCTTCAGCTCTCCCAGTGAAGTCTCACCCTGTGCCACAGTTGTCTCCTGTAAAACAGTTAAGGTCCTGTTGTAAAGCAGAGAGTGTCAGGCAAATATAATCTATATTATGCTGGGTGATTTGAATACAAACCAAACAAGTGATCTTTTTGTGAAGGCCACTTATCTGAGACTCATATGTCTCTCTGGTCTCTTTCAGATCCTGCTCTCTGAGGGTTTCCTCCTGCNNNNATTCAAGTGCATCACTTTCTCCTTATCCTGTGCCAGGTGACCCTGCAGCTCCTCCAGCCGCCTGAGTGATGACGAAAACAAAACATAGGTTTTCCCTAATTTTCCTTAATTCATAGACCAAAATTAATGTTAACTAGCGTTTGCAACATATCACATCAATAACATTTTTATATTGGAACAAAGTGGAATGGTACCATCTATTCCCATCTAAAAAAAAAAAATCGATTCAATTGTAGTTTATCTACAGCAGCGGTTTTCAATAGGTGAGGCACGAATCCCTGCGGGGTGCCAAGGAGTCATAGGGGAGGCCTGCATGAAGTTGCATGCATGAAATTATTTGCGGTTGCAAATAATCATTTATGAAAGCCCTTCTTAAGAAGTTGTAAAAATTAAACAATTTCAAATACATCCTATCAGTTGTTATTGAAACATCATTTTTGGAGCACTCACACTGAAAATACCTGATCTTTTTGCCTTAATTTCCCTTTGGGATCAATAAAGTAGCTATCCATCGATTTAGCTACAGAATTTACAGTCTATATATACAGTAGTTAATGGAAATAAAGAAAATGGTATATTAGCTGCTTAGAGTGCTGTATTTATTACTTAAATATACAGTATGTCTCACTCACACTCATGGTTTGTAAAATGGACATAAAAGATGATGACTTTCATTCTGTTAAATACATGGTCATCGAACATACAATTGCCTTTTGTACCTTTCTTTCTGCATGAGGTCGTCGTTTATTTTGGTCAGCTGTACAGAACTATCACCAGATGCCGTCATCATGTCGCAAATATTTTCAAGCTTGCTCTTGTCCTTTAAAAGCTGCTCGACCTTTTCATCTGCAGTCTTCAATTTCCTCTCCAGTCCTATTTGAATGACAAATATTTTTTCTGTGATAATAAACAGAGATACTCATGTATGGACTAAAGATTTGACTCTGCGCAAACTTACCAGCAAGTTGTCCTCTAAGAGATTCTGATTCTCTAGCCAAAGATGTGCATTGTTCATCCTTCTCGCTCAGTTTCTCCAGCATATCTGCAAAAGGAACATGTCATATTCCATACAGCAAATGCCTTCCAACATTTGTCCTCATTAACTGCTCTTTTACCTTGCATAGTTTGAGCAGATTTTGTCTGCTCTTCTGAGCTTTCAGCCAACTTTTGTTTCTGAAAGAAATTTAATATTTTCAGCATTGATTCAAACCAACAATCTCTTGCACTCTTTGTACTGAAGCAACATGGACAAAATTTTATAAAACTAAAGTGAAAGTGAAAACACTTTGATGTCCTACCAAATCTACAAGCTCTTTTTCCAGATTGTCCTTTATCTGATTGGCCATATTCACAGAATCTTGTAATGTCAGGACCTCCTTCTGTTGACCCTCCAACACAGAATGTAATTCACTAACCTGTACCAAAAAAAAAAGCCAAAACGTAATAAAAAAGTAGGTTTGAAACATTTCCTGAACAAGTAATTAAAAGAAAAGATGAAGGGGGAGAAACAAAATCATTATTTTACTGTAACAGTACAAAAACTATAAGCAGTTGAAATTCACCTTGGACGCCCGGTCGTTTTCCTGGCTCTGAATTTTCTCTAACTGACTCTTCAGGGTCACAACTTCTTGGTTGCCTTGAGCCACTTGGCTACGAAGTGCCACCATCTCTGCCATCTGCTCTTTGGTTTCTTTGTCCTTGTCTTCAGCCTGCTGTTTCAATGCTTCCTCATTATCCTCAAGCTCCTTCACCCTAAGTTCCACCGTGTGAAGCTTCCCAAGAACATCTTCCATCTCAACAAGGTGCTGCTCCTCTGCTTTTTCAACGCTGGACCTTAGCGACTCCTCCAGTCGCTCCTTCTCTTCATTCAAAGATGAAAGCTGTGCCGTCAGCGACTGCGTTTCTTGTGTCCAAGCTAAAGAGTCAGCATTATGTTTAGATTCAGCCTCTTCAAGAGCAAACTTGTACTCCAACTTCAGTTTCTCTAGTGCACTTTTGGTTTCCACAAGCTCTTCTGTTTGGGCATCTGCTCCTTTGCTAAAGGACACTTTGAGCTCCTCCATGGCTTTCTGTTGTGAAGCAACGGCAGACTCCAACTTTGACTTCCACATTTCAATTATGTCAGCATTTTCTTTCTCAGCCTGGCTCAAGCAGATCTGCAACTGCTCTTTGTCACCAGAGAGCTTGACTGAAGTCGCCTGAAGCTGGACCACTGCCTCAGTGTGGGCCTTTTCTTGAGCCTCCAGCATCTCCTTGTGTTTAGCTAGCTCTTCTTGCTGCTTAGCATCTTGGGAAGCCAGCTGATCTCTAAGAGAGCTAATCTCTTCCAGTAGAGGAGAAAGCACAGCGTACTCCGGGCCCTCTTGAGTTCCAAGGCGTAGTTGCAGATCGGCGACCTCTCTGGCACGCATTGACAGATCCTTCTCAAGCTCCATTATACGGGATCGTTCAGACACTGTGGCCACCTTTGAGAGTGAAATCTTACATTTAAAAATGTAATAAAAAGTGACACATGGAAGCAGTTGGCACTACTTTGGCACTAAGTTAATCTACAGGCAGAGATAATTGTTCAATATAATTAACCTAACGAATTTGGAAGAAAAACAAAATGGCTGTACAATTCAACAGAACCACAAAGGTGTTGTACACTTCAACCTTTATCAGGCAAAGACAAAGGAAAATATTTGCAGAACTTATACTCTATTTATTTTCAAAACCTATTTGTTAAACACAAACTGCCTAAATATATATGCTTGAAACACAGGTTTCAGTTTTTCAATTGAACTCCTACCATTATTGCTGTGTAAAATGACTTTAGCTGCTTAACAGCTCTTGGTATTCAATATCTGATTCTTAGTCTTTGTCTATGATGTTTTAAAGCATATATGATGAACTTGGCCCCAGAGAAAGCACTGGGTTTTCTGCAACAAAAAAACTGACATCAATGTTTTTGCATGAAACAGCATAAGGTAGCACTTTTGAATGCATTACCCATCAAGCTACTCTTTTTCTTGTGCAACATTTGAGAATTTCTTCATGTTCACCATATAGATTAAGTTAGATTAGGTTTACCGCTCAAATACAAAATACTTTCCTTTTTCTTTTGCTTGATAGACAGAGGTTTACCATAACTAATGTACTAGATGTTGGTTCAACAGAAATTAAAAAATGTACAAACCTTTCTGTAACATTTACTTTTATATACATACACACACACACATATATATATATACATATATATATATATACACACACACACACACACATACATATATATACACACATACATACATATATACACACATACATCTAACTTATAACCAATCTATGTTTGTGAAAACCAATAATCTCCTCCTTTATCTAAGAAAGAACATGTTATACTGACCTCTTGTGGCTATAAAAGCACAAATAATGGAAATGAACAGTGAAAGCATGTATGGAGCTACAGTTGTGTGCCAAACATTTTCCACCATTTTTAGGTCTCATCATCATCTAGGTAGCATATACCGATGCAGAAAGATTTGTTTCCCGTGTCTTAGTATTTTCTAACAAATACAAACTCTTTTAGCTGCTTTAAGAAAATATTTTAAAAATGTTTTAAATAGTTCATCGACAGCTACATCGAATGGACGGTAGAGGAGGTTTTAGACTACTGAAACACGAAACCAAATAAAAAAGGTGGATGGATTTTGGCGGAATTTATTCAAAACTGGATGCATGACCTTTAAATTATTAAGATGAGCAGTGTAAATGGACTGGCTAAAAACTAGAGAGATGTTGACTAGTCTGGTTTAGTAGCGACACCAGTACAGTAGGTGTGAGTTCAGGTTATACAACTTACTGGAAAACACGTTGTAGGAAATAAAAGTGCTATAACTCATAGCTGTACTATTATACTGTTCATAGTTGAGTGTTATTGTTTAAATGTGTATTAATTGAATTGAGAATTATGTAAATACATGACAAAATGATTCAGCGGTAAATACTGCTTGAGGTACGGTAGACTCATTGGAGGATTTTCCAAACCTTATATGTGCATTAGTTTGTTATTTGATTTGATTTGTTGGTAAGGGATGTTGTTTACAAGGTTTAATCAACACAAACTCAAACAAAGCAAAGCTGTTCGTGCTAAGCACCTCTCTGTACCCACTACAAATTTCTTGGCCATTACCGCTTGACCCAGGCCCCGTCTACCAACGCAGCGCGCTGCAGAGCGGAAAGAGTCATTACCCTAGTGTCTTCTAACTCTCTTTGGAGTTTCTCAGCTTTGGTCTTTTCAAAAAGCAGGCTCTGTTCAAGCTCCTTAATGTGGGCATGCTCCAGCCTGGTCTGCGTCTGTTAGTAATAGAGAGGGAGAGGAAGAGAACACACCAGTGCCACCATCACATGCCAGCCCAACAAAGACAGAGAGGGAATGAGAAAAAGGGGGCGTGGGTTTTGAGAAGAATGACAGTGAGTTTTTTTGCAGGTCTTGGGGAGTTTTGCATGGTGTGAGGTGGGCAATAGTGGACAAGTGGGAGTGGGAAAAAGCCCCATGCAGAACTCCCAGGATGTGCAATCAACAGCAACAGCAATTTTGTGTAATAATGGTGAAAAATACAAGACAGATAGCAAGGGAGGGGCATGTGTTATGGAGGCAGTTTAAAAGTAAACATGCAGAGTTGACACCTGGTGAACAAAGCATGTTGATTGTTATCACATATGAGAAAATAACCATGTGTTTCAAGCCATCAGGTCACTTATGGGAAAATCACTTCATCATGAAATAGAGAGAAAGCAGTGATGCCTGTTTCCTGACAGGTTCTCAGATTATATTATATCATATTAAAAACAGAAATGACCTATAAACCATTCTGGAAAAGGAGAGAAAGCAATAAAATAACATCACTGAGGGTTATAGGACAATATTAGTACAACTTTCACGCTTGAAATCAACAAAGCTTTTTTTTCAGTATTGTTTTAACCCTTTTGCGTTTGTGTATTTCAAGCTTCATGCAAGTTTTGAATGTAATATATCCACAGATGTGAGTAAGTAAATACGTGTTAGTACACAGGTTGAAAAAAGAAGATAAACGGGTTGCTAACCCTGTAGCTCTCATTTTAACCATCTATTTTGAGTTGAGTTCCTTTGGAATAAACGAAGCACACCCTTGTGCAGCGCTGTGGAACAAATAAAAATCTTTAAATCACATGTTAAGAGAGTAACTCCTGAATGTGGGAACTTAGGAAGAGAGCAAAACCAACATGAGATAAAAATACAGTACTACAGTACAGAGAGTACAACATACAACATGAATTACTTATTATTAAATATTATGTAAAGTGGTTTGAGTTTTTATAAAAAGCAAACATTAATAAAAAACCTTCTAATCTTTTCTTTGTATATGTCTCATATTAGTATCAGTACACAGTCTTATTAGAGTTATCACGGACACATTCAAAGCTTTTCCTTCAGAACTCCACTGAACTGAACTTTATTTAAAAAAATAATTTCTACAAAACATCTTGTCTGAAGGAGTCAGTGTATTTCCCCAGTGTAGTCCAAAATAAATAAATATTGAAATACAAATTTGAAATTTGCTTTGCTGCATGTCCCTGCAATAGCTTTGTTCCCCTGGTAGGTGTGACCTCCTACTTTGGGAACCACTGGAGTAAAGAGAGAAATAATACTAGTATACTAGTAGCAAATTTGCTTGTTATCGTTCCTGGTAATTGGTCAAAAATTACATTTAAAATCAATTTTAAATCAATTGCTTCACAAACACTGGACTTTGTAGTTTGTGGTCACTGATTCTCTTTTTTTCAATATCTATATCTATGCTTGATTTGAAAGTTTATGAACTGCTCATACAGTGAAAAATGATTCACAAATACATTAATATGTGGAGGTTGTGATGCTGTGGATCTGTGTTGCACTTTTACCTCTAAGTCTCCTTTGGTAATACAGGCTTCTTCTACACGGAACTGAAGGTCCTCCACCTTCCTATTAAACAAAAAAACAAGTTAGATTTCTTTTTGTTTGTTTGTTTGTTTTATTTCAATAGTTAGTTCTAACTAATAATAGTTCAATAGTTAATAGACGAATTTCAGTTAAATTCCCATACAGCAGGTACAGTATCATACTGGCCATTGTAGACCTTCCTTCCAGAGTATTGTGTGTTCTCACCTTTGCTTATGCTTATGTAATTATGTCACAGTGTTGCTTTAAACATCAAGAACCCTTACCTACGCTCCTCCTCCAGCTGATTCAGCAGCTCCACTTTTTCTTTGTCTGCAGCTTCTACTAAGGCACGTAACTGATCCATCTTTGTCTCCATCTTCAATTACATGATTGGACAAAAATTGCACGCAGTGAGGAGGGGGCGGGGGGCTTGTCAGACAATAAGATAATTTTAGATTATGTGCAATTGTTGCACATGCTGACCTGTTCCTGATCATCCCTGAGGAGAGTTATTTCTTGCTCCATCTCTCCAACATGGTTTGTGGCTTTAGCAACCTCAGCTCTCTCCATGTCCCTTTCAGCCATCAGTTGCTCAATATGCTGCTGCTTCTCTTTCAGTGCCTCCTGCAGGGCCGTGGTGCCTGAAATCTTCCGATTATATCGTGATGATGTTTCTGTAAGCTAGGGGTGACGAAACAGAATCATGGAATCAAACTCATGATTAAGTAAAGGCTTTAAAGTAAAGTACAAGTCCTGAAATTTGTGTCTTGGTCTCACCAGGCCTGTGCGGCTGGGCTTGGCACTGACAGAGGAGGCCACAGAGCTCATGGTACTGATGGAGGAAGCACTGGGACTTCTCTTCAGCCCTGATGGAGTGGCTACTACTTTGCGAGTTGTTGTTTTTGCTTTGGCTGGTGTGGTAGAAGGGAAGCCAATGCGTGTGACTTTGTGCACTGGAGCAAATAGGCCGTATTTTGGTTGACACTGGAAATACCTAGACAAAAATAATGAATGTCAGTCATAATAAAGGAAACAAATAATTTACAAATGTTATATTGACATTCTGAGATGTTTTACCTTGTGCCGGCCACTGCACCATCATTTTTTCCCAAAGGTTCGTCCAGTTCTACACCACACCATTCTCCTTTAGCAAAATCTGTTTCCCCAAGGAAGCGTATCACTCCTGCCTTTGTGCCACCAACCTGAGACAATAATGCTAAACATTACAACAACATCCTCAGATAAATAGCCAAAGTATCTAGATCAACCAGATTTTGTCATTGTTTTTACTCAATACACAGCAAAAACATAAATGTTGCAAAATATGAAACTAATCAAAAAAGTTAGAAATGTAGGTTATAATTTATGTACTAGTTGGTCTAATAATTGCACCGAGAGAAGAGGGTTAATGTCACATGACTGTAACACACAAATATAAGATTGTATGTAAACAACAAAATATTTTCCTGTTTAAATACTGCCAAAGGAAAACTTTACCAGGACACGATCGCCTATCTTCAGCTCCCTTTCCCCCTTCTTAACTGATCCAGACTCAGACAGGTTAGAGATGGATTCACTGTTTGTATGTGCAAGGTTGGAAGATGAAGCAGCTGGTGTGGGAGCAGTAGTGGTGGAGGGCTTCTTCGTTGTAGTTGTAGGTAGTGCTGACTTGGTGGTAGTCGCGGAGGCCACGCGACCAACTGATAGTGCGGGTGATTCTGCTCTGAAAGTGGGTGCCGTCTGAGTCCCATTAGCCTCTGTTTCTGTGCGTGACAACTTGGATGGACGTGTGAATATACCTCGAAGAGCTTCACATTGGAAGTATCTGACCCCTGCCACTGAACCGTCATTCTTCCCAATTGGTTCGTCGAGAACAATCCCTGCCCACTGTCCTGGGGCAAACTGTGTCTCTCCCAAAAACTGAATATAGCCTGGTTTATTCCCATTCACCCAGACCCTCTCCCCAACCTCGAAGTTCTCCTCGGCATTTTCAGAATCTCCGGAAGCAGCACTTGCAGCTGGCTTGTCAGCTAATGCTTTTGTGCCTGTTAAAGAGAAAAGTCTATTAAGTTCCTTCATGTAAAAAAAAAACAAAACGTACGGTGCATGTCTTACATCAGTTGGCAATACGTTTTCATGAAAGCAAAATGCATGACTTGTTCTTTGTGACAAGGGTTGGCCATGTTTACATTTATAAAAACACTAAAATCACATTAATAAAACACTAAATAATAAACTGAAGTGTTGAATATATTTTATACCTCATTTGCATCTTTATTCTTTGTTTATAAAAACAAATATATATTTTCATTTTCTAAAGGTATTTGACATGTCATTGGTTTCATAAAAACCATAAATAGGTCAGTCATTCCAAATATAATCATGACTGTTGTGATGACACTCTTATTTGTTTTTCACCTCGAGTGAACTAGGCTCACTTGAGGTAAAGAAACCTCGACGTTATGATGCTCACCTGTGCTAGGGTTGGTCTTGGGGGCTCCCGTTCCAGGTGGCCTGGCTATCTTGCTGGGCACTTTGATCCCACTGCCTTTGGCTGTGCTCATGTTTCCTCCTGTGATCCGTTAAATCCACAAGGCTTGTGTCCGTCAGTAGGTTCAGGCTGATTACACAACATCAACACAACTGGCTGCAGTTCAGTGTTGGTGATGCCACGTCTCACTGCACAAAAATCAATGCACAGAGAAGGTAACTTGAAAAGAACTAAAAGAAAAACCAAAAGAAAAAAACAGGAAAAGGGAAGAGGGGGGAAACCAATTCTCTCAAAGGACCCTGTTTGGAGAAGAAGAGAGAGAAACAAAAATTTAGTGAATGATGGATTGCTTGTATAAAGTGAACAGTAACTACTTATAAAAAGAATGATGTTTGTTCAACTAAATTATTCGGTTATGTGAACTAGTATTTTTAGATTATTTCAGAGGGATAATGGATGTAATGTTAACAGAAACATTACTGTAAACAAGGGCAGTTCATATTAAAATGTTTTTTTTTATTAATTTGCTTAAAAATATTAATACATTTTAATGCATGTACACAGAATGATGCACACTGTATATCTAAATATTTCATCCTCTATCTATTTGTTAGTGCACTAATACACAGTCAATACATATGTTATTTACTGACATTGTGGGAATTCTTTTTTGCTTCACCAAATACTAGCTTAGTGATGACTTATTACTATTGCTCAGGACAAGGGCTTCACTGAAGTTTAAGGCAACTTTGTGCGTACTAAAAACCATTGTCAAGATACACAATAATAAACAATATCCAACAACTGAATGAAGCAAAACTGTGAGTTACTTAATACAAATAAAATCAGGTTTGAAATGCATATCTCCCTGTTGTTCCTTCACTTTGTTTCAGTAAATGTTGAAACTTTTTTGCTGAGCATATCCAGGAATGTAGATTCTTCTTTTAATCAATATTAATTCTGATTAGTCCACAACTATCCTGTGTTTTATCAAATTAAAAACATTTTAACAGTCTGCCCTTATTTAAATTACTAAAAGTAAGTACTATAGGTATGTCCTTAGGCCAATCATTTTGATTTTTTTTTGCTGCTCTTTTAATGGGGACATTCTCTCTCTGTGTTATGACAACAAGCTCCCCGTCACACTGACTTCCATCACACCTAAAAATACCCCATTAAAGGTTAACAAATGTGTTGCCTCTGTTCATGTTTTTCTGAACTTCTAAACAGGTCATATGTGACATTTCCCACCACATACAAAGCACCACAAACATTTTCTTTGGCTCACAGGATCATTGTGCTTATCCATGTAAATCTGGGTGAATGTTTTTACCAAAATGGGATTACAATGGAAAAACACAACCACAGCTAGCATGGCACCAGCAGATTATCGTGTTTATTAAACCTCACAAGCTCACAAACTGTTTGGTTCAAAAGGTTATATTCAAACACTGACTCCCTTGTAAGAAGTTTGATAATAAGAGTGGAATCAATTTAGTTTTGTAATATAATGTTATATGTAATATATGTTGAGGCAGGAAGTGGAGAATTGTGAGCAACAGTATGGTTTCATGCCTAGGAAGTACCACAGATGCAATATTTGCCTTGAGGATGCAGATGGAGAAGTACAGAGATGGTCAGAAGGAGCTACATTGTATATTTGTAGATTTAGAAAAGGCATATGACAAAGTGCCAAGGGAGGAATTGTGGTTTTGTATGAGGAAGTCAGGAGTGGCAGAGAAGTATGTTAGTTTGGTGCAGGACATGTATGAGAATAGTACAACAGTGGTGAGGTGTGCTGTTGGAAGGTGTAAATAGAATTTATAGTTAGTTACCAAAGTGTGTTAAACCAAAGTGTGGTGAACCATAAACTGTTATCTAAGTGTGTTAAATATTGGTCTGCTTGACAGGAGTAGGTACTCCTAAAAGGTTTTTTACAATGTAGGTCCATAAAGGATGAGGTCTGTTTCTCATCAACTATGGGAATCGGATGAACTTTGCCCTGGGAGTAAAACTTGAAGAAAAAAACAACAGCCCAGTACTTTCTCAATAAAAGGAGCTGCAGTCCTCATACACTTTGGGACTTAGGTGAGCCAACTCTGCAAAGCTGTTGCTCTCTCTGCTCCCCCTCGCAGCGAGTAAAAAGTACAACGTTGTCAGGTGTGGTTCTTTTCAGGTCATTCTATCTGCGGCAGTTAGATGACAATAGTGGTGACTGAATAACGTAATTTTCAGCACCAACATAAGGGAATCTATACAACTCCTTTTCTTCTTCCTTTGAGTCCAAAGTCTTGTACAACTCCTCATATGCCTTTTTTTGGTCTCTCTTTGTACACCATTCTGTTCTCTTCTGTTGTGTCACTGTCCCATCTCTTCTTCGCTAATCTCTTTCTCTGCACACTCTCCTGGATCTCTCATTCCACCACCAGGTCTCTTTGTCCTCCTCTCTCTGCCCAGAGGACATACCTAGCACCTTCCTACCTGTCTTCTTAATCACTGCAGCTGTAGTCACCTCCATTGTTTGGCTACACTCTCGCCTGCCACCAGCTTACAATCATTATTCTCCCTCAGATTACCTTTTCTACATAGAATATAATCTATCTGTGTGAACCTGCCGCAACTCACCCTGAAATAGTGAGGTTACAAGGAGCAGAGGTGGTGAAGGTGCAGGAGTTCAGGTACGTAGGATCAACTGTTCAGAGCAGAGGAGACTGTGGAAGAGAGGTGAAGAATAGAGTACAGGCAGGATGGAACAGCTGGAGAAAAGTGTCAGGAGTGATCTGTGACAGAAGAGTGTCAGCTAAGGTGAAGGGAAAGGTTTACAGGACGGTGGTGAGACCAGCCATGATGTATGGTTTAGAGACAGTACCAATAGGCAGAAGACAGGAGGCGGAGCTGGAGGTGGCAGAGTTAAAGATTCAGTCACTCCTAAGATTCTCTTTAGGAGTGACAAGAATGGACAGGATCAGGAATGAGGTTATTAGAGGGACAACACAGACAGGAAGGTTTGGAGAAAAGGCTAGAGAAGCCAGATTGAGATGGTTTGGACATGTGCAGATGAGGGACAGTGGATACATTGGTAGAAGAATGTTAGAGAGAAAAATGTTACCAGATAGGAGAAAAACAGGAAGGCCAAAGACGAGAAATATGGATGCAGAGGGAGGACATGCAGATAGCTGGAGTCAGAGTAGAAGATGCAGAGAACAGGGAGAGATGGAAAACAATGATTCGCTGTGGCAACCCCTGAAAAAAGGGACAAAGCCGAAAGAAAAAGAAGAAAAAAGAAGAATATAACCAATGGTTTAAAAAAAATCAGCTGACTGAAATCTGGTATCACAGAATATTGCTTTGCTCAGTTTTACAGATGTGCAATATCCCTGTGATCTGTTCTCTTTGAAACTGGTTTAAACACAGTGACAGAGACTAAGTCTAACCATGTGACAACACTAAGGAAAGAAAAATTGCTGCAGGACTTCCTCACATACTCATACTCCTAACAGCTTTTTACTACAACCAGAAATGTGCTAGTGGTACAATGTTTTCTGGAAATATAAATTGTGCTAGACACTTTAAAATAGGCTTCTGTTAATGAGAATAAAAATAAAAGCTGTAAACATTTTTCTGCTTAGTGTCTTCACTGTGGCTTAGGGTGAGCTCACACACAATGCACATCACCCGATTTCCCAGCTGTGCCAGATACAGAATATAACACTGCGTTTTATTGCAACCCAACATGTGGATACCCAACAGGTATCCAAATTGGTACTCAGTATTTGCAAGTACCCAAATGAAAATATTGGAGTTTTTGAACTGGTATTTAGACATCCATAATGTACATTATGGAATGTATGTCACAGTCTTAATATATTATATTACAAAAATGTATTACATATTTATTATTATAAATATATATATATTGACAAAATAAAAAAATGCATCAAAATATAAAAAAAGCATCAAACCTTTAAATCTAGACCTAGCAAATTATAATATATAAAAAAACTTAACACCTGTTCTGCAATGATGTCAAAGTGGGTATATTCAAGTTGATTAATGCCTTTAAACACCACTGGACAGCTATGTCAGTGGGGACTGAAGACGTACAAGGAAGACAACAGTGGCCATCAGTATGTAACTGACCCAGTTTGAATGTACTAGTGTTTTGGTTTTCCCTTGGTCTGGCTGTGATGTCTACTGATCAGTGCCCTCAGACCACAATGACGGTCAGTGCAAGAAAATATTTTAAAGAAAATATAAAAAGCATGTTTTTATGACATAGTGTTACCCACAGTGTAATAAGAGTAACAATGTAATGAGAGATTAATTTGAAAAACCATTTGCCCTGGCAGAATTTGAATAAGTATTTCAGCTCTCATTTGTGAAGCAGTGCAGGCATCTGAAAATGATCGATTTCAGTCTGGAGAATTTACAACTACAGCTATTTTAATCTTCTGCCACAGACATTCGCCAGGGTCTAGGTTGGGAACTGGAGGGTGCTTCTATCTTTACGAAGCTTGACCATAGGAGTGCATACCACTTGGTCCGTATCCGTGAGACAAGTTTGTCTTTGTTTACCTGGACGATATTCTAGTATTTTCTCGTTCTAAGAGTGAGCATGTCCACCATGTCAGAACAGTCCTATTGCGCCTTCTCCAGAATGCTCTATTCGTTAAACCTGAGAAGTGCGAATTTCACGTATCCTCCACTTTCTTCCTGGGGTATGTCATTCAGGAGGGGAACATCCAGATGGATCCCAGCAAGGTGTCAGCAGTCTACAACTGGCCTCAACCAGACTTCTCCGGAAACAGTTGCAAAGATTTCTGGGATTTGCCAACTTTTACCAGCGGGTTATAGCTCTGTCGCTGCCCCCTTTCAGCTCTCACATCCACCAAGGTGCCTTATGTCTGGTCACTGGCTGCGGAACTTGCCTTTCAGACTCTCAAGACTCGCTTCACGTCTGCCCCAATCCTCCAGATGCCCGACCCGGAGAGACAGTTTGTAGTGGAAGTGGACGCTTCGGATGTTGGGGTGTGGGCGGTCCTATCGCAGAGACGTGCCGAGGATCACAAACTTCATCCTTGTTCCTTCTTCTCTCGTCGTCTCACCAAGGCAGAGATGAACTATGACATTGGGAACAGAGAATTGCTCGCTGTGAAGCTGGCACGGGAGGAGTGGCATCACTGGCATGAGGGGGCTAAGCAGCTGTTCATTGTTTGGACCGACCACAAGAACCTGGAGTACTTACAGTCAGCTAGGAGGATGAATTCACGGCAGGTGAGGTGGTCTCTTTTCTTCACCA